CAACTTGGGCCAGTGAAGCAGTGTCCTCCACAACTAGATTGAAGAACAAAACAACAGCAACTTGTCTGTTCCCCTTCCCCTAATTCCCCAGTACTGTTCCCATCCCCCCAATTACCCAATAAAAATCTTTAAAAAAAAAAAAAGAATCTTGCAGGATTATTCATTTTCTATTAAGGAAAAAAATGTTAAGTGTGGGGTGAAATTCTGTTAAAATTGATGAGTTAGGGGGGCTGGCCGAGTGGCTCAGTTGGTTAAGAGTTGGCTTAAGAGTGCGGGCTCTGAGCAGTGGGGCCGCTGGTTCAATTCCCACATGGGCCAGTGACACTGCGCCTGAGCTGAGCTGTCGCTGAGTTGCCTACAGGTGGCAGAATGGCTCAGCTGGTGTAACAACAAGATTGCCCATTCAATGGAGGGCTACGCCCACCCGCAACTAAGACTGACACAGCACCTTGAGCTTAGAGGCCATGAGCTGCCACCGGGAAGCCAGATGGCAACTGACGCCCTCCACAACGATGATTGAAGAACAACAACTTGGCTGATCCCCTCCCCCAATTCCCCAACATTGTTCCCCTCCACCAATTCCCCAATTAAAAAAAAAAATTGATGAGTTAGTTATACTTCGGATTAGTCAGCCACTAACAAATATCCTACATGTATAGGATAGGCAGGCACTACAGACAAGAATTTTGGCAAGAAGTTACTTGGCGACATTGTGGGGAGCATTCCCCTATGACAGATCACCTCATCTGTCACAATAAAGACAACCACCACCAGAGGACAAACAACACATTTAAGATGTGAGGAACTATAATATAATTTCAAGATTTTACATGTAATCATTTATGCTTTATATCTGGTCATATTCAAAGATGGTACAATGGTTAGCAAAGTATAAAACAAGACACTGATTATTATCTTTATAAAAGGGAGACAATTAACTGACTGATGAGACAGTTATTCAGGGAATTCTTGTTTTGGCCAATTAAAACAATTCTTCAAATGTGGAATGGAATTACATGATCATATATAAATGTGTTGAACAGCTAACATAAAATTAAGTAGGAAAATTAAAATGGTTATAGAAATCAGATTTGGATTGGGGAGTTTGCTTGTAAGAAGATAATATAAAATTAATTAAATATCACATTATCATTCTTATATATCTAAAATGTTTCAGCCAATTTAGAATTATTGATAATTACAAGGTTTTAGTGCAATTTTCATGTTTTCTTTTTGGTAATCTCAAAATTTTCTATAATGAGCATAAATAACTTTATGACAAAAAGATAATTATATAAACTCAAAATGTTAAACAAACAGCAGATTCCTTTTATCTTGTTTAAAAAGCTATATTACAATGTTACTCTAAGATAGTAGTTACTTAATAGCAATAAATGTTACTATATACAGTACAAAAAGCTTTTTGGCACTTTGAAAAGACAGGATATAAAGTTAAAGGAAAAAAAAACACCTTAGACAATGTAAACAATTCTTAAAATAGCACTAACTGCAACCCTGTTACCCTAACTTTAAGAAAGGCAGCATAAAGTCCTTACATGCACGTGTTATTAATAGCGTCGTCCGGGCAGTGTCCTGAGCAGTAGCACTTTAAAAAAGGCAAGGTGTCCTCTGGTGCTAAGGTTACTCCATTTTCTGACTTCTGCTGGTCGGAGTCTGATTTCATCCCAGTACCATGGAGCATACTGTCTAGATTCTGCCCTGTAATCATATATGAAATTTGTAAATAAATCATTTCTGAAAAGCTAATTCTTTGATTTTTAGTTTTTAAAGAGGAAAAGCTTCTAAGCTTTCTTATGACAGTAATTGTAGCTAATGTGTTTCTTTAATTAAAAATAAATTTGTCACACAACAGCATTTATGAATAACCTATTATACACAGAATTACTATCCCATATAAAACTGAAGGCAACAAAGGAACAAGACAAATAAATAAATAAACAAAAACTGATAGATACAGACAACAGTTTTGTGGTTACGAGAGGGTAAGGTGGGGAGGGGGTGGTAGAAGAGGGTAAAGGGGGTCAAATATATGGTGATGAAAGGGGAACTGACTCTGGATGGTGAGTACACAATTGATACATAGATGATGTGTTACAGAATTGTACACTTGAAACCTATATAGTTTTGTTGACCATTGTCACTCCAATAAATTTGAGTAATAAAAAAAAAGAATTACTACCCCAGGTGTTGTGGGATATATGGAGGTGACTATGTCACAATTTTTGCACTAGTGAAAGACAAACAAGAGTGGCACAAGGAAGAATATGGTCCTAACTTTTTAGAAAGGTATGTGGAGGCAATTTCAGGGAAGGCTGAGATTACTTCCAATCATTAAAACACAGACAAATTACGTTTTTTTTCTTATACTCTTTAGTTCAAAACTTGTGACTAGCTTAAAAACAATAAGTCCTTTATTTGTGCCTCTGTGTGGAAGTAGAGTTACTAAGCTTCTTGCTTTGGACTTTAACTGCTTAAGTAAGGGGAATCATATTATCTGGTGCCTTTTATCTTAAGGTCATTGGTTCAAATCCAGACTATGCTGCCAGAAACTGAAGGTTATCCTTGCATTAGAGACTAGTAGCTTCAAATGACAGATACAGTCATATTTGATACTGAATCTTTCAAGTTGAAAGTAGAACAGAACTAAAACAGGGGTTTTTTTGTTTGTTTATTTTGGTTTTTTAATTGGGGAATTGAGGGAGGGGAACAGCATTGGGGAATCGGGGAAGGGGAACAGACAAGTTGCTGTCCTTTTGTTCTTCAGTCTTGTTGTGGAGGACGTCGCTTCACTGGCCCATGTTGGTATTGTGATCATTGTTCTCTTCCTGGCTGAGGCAGATCGGTCGCCGGCCATTGGATGGCCCACTCACGGGGGCTGCCGGCAGTTCACGCCGGCTGCCAGCCGCTCATGCTGGCTGCCGGCCACTCACGGTAGCTCACGGCAGCCCACTGCAGCCTACGCTGTCACTGGCAACTCACAGTAGCCCAGCTCCAGGTCAAGCTGTTGTTCACCATCTTAGCTGTAGAGGGCACAGTGTCACTGGCCCTCATGTGGGATCCAAACAGAGGCCCTTATTGCTCAGAGCTTGCACTCCCAAGCCAACTCTTAACCAACGCACAACTTGGCCGGCCCCTAAAACAGTGTTTTAGTAATTCCTTCCTCCCTCTGAATCAGCTGAAATTGACCAGGCTATTCCTTGTAGGGTTGATCTCAAGGGAATAACATGGAGAGCCAAACAAGTATGAAGTATTAAAAGAATTGGATATGTATTTAATCATAAATGTTAAATAAGTGGTTCAAGGCTTCATAATGTGGATTTGACTTTAAATTTAGCCATACTGGTGAGAAGAACTATTGAAAAGAGAAAAAAGTAACACATATATACACGTTGATAACAGGAAAAGAATGTGCTGCTAAATAAGTTTTAGTGATGCCACACCTTGACTTTTAATAATCTTCAGTTAATCCTTTAAATTACTACAAAACTTAAAGACCTCATTTATGTGATGAATGTCAACTGCTAAAAAAAAAAAAAAAAAAGCAGGGAGTGGAGCAGAAAGGGAAGAAATCCACTGAGCTGGAAATGAGGAGACCGAGAGTCTGGTGTACTATGGTTCCACCATAGTTTAGCTAGCTGGATGATAATGGATAAGCCATGTCTCTTCTCCAGGCTTGATTTACTCAATAAGACCGCAGGACTAGAGGACACCCGAGGTCTGTTAATAGCTTTAAAATTCTATTACAGTAACAGAAAGAAGTATCCATTCAGCTATGGAGAACAAACAGCAAACAATATATCCCATGCAATCGATTTTTCAAAAATCTAATGATACATAGAAAAAGCAGTATGGTGCAGAAGAAATAATACTGAAATAACAGTAAAAATAAAAAGTCAAGGGTTCAAGTCCTGATTATGTCCACAGATAAGTTACTCTCTGAACCTCAGTACTTTATTAAAAATGGTAGTAATACCTGCCCAATTCAAACCAAGAGGCTATATACAGATCAAATGAATATTAATAAATTAAATATAAAACAGTATGCAAATGAAAATATTACTGATAATTGATATCATATTAAAAGATCACTGATACTAAAAAATCCAAAGTTATATGATAGTTAGTACACATAACTTACTAGAAAACTATTTAAATTTAGGAGATAAAAATCTTAATTACGGGCCGGCCGAGTGGCGCGATGGTTAAGAACTCGCTTGGGATGCCAGAGGGCCCCGGTTCGGATCCCACATATGAGGGCCAGTGACACTGCCCTCCACAGCTAAGATGCTGAACAACAGCTCAACCTGGAGCTGGGCTGCCATGAGTCGCCGGCGACGGCGTGGGCTGCAGTCCCTGTGGCAGTGCATTGCCATGGGCTACCGTGTGTGGCCAGCAGCCAGCGTGAGCGGACAGCAGCCGCAGTGAGCGGCCGTCCAGAAGCCGGCGACTGATCTGCCTCGCCAGAGAAGAGCGCAATGATGATGCCAACTTGGGCCAGTGAAGCAACGTCCTCCACAGCTAGATTGAAGAACAAAACGACAGCAACTTGTCTGTTCCCCTTTCCCCAATTCCCCAGCACTGTTCCCATCCCCCCAATTCCCCAATAAAAATCTTTAAAAAAAAAAATCTTAATTACAATAATTTGCATCTGAGATTTACATCATCTCAAATATTTAACAAAGCACTCATTAAGGCTTACTATGTGCAGGCAAGGCACTGAATTCTGGGAACTGATCTCGTCCTTGAGAAACTTGGAAAGAGACAAAGTGGGAGGGGTAACAAGAACAAAAATAAACACAATGTGAAAAGTGATATAATACAAAGGTGCTATATAAACGAAGGAGCCAATAACACCACCTCATCCTAGGATGTCAAAAGCAATGAAATCTGAGCCACATCTTGAAGTTGTAATATGTCACCAGGAAGAGGCATAGATGCAAAGACACATACCTAGCAACAGTCCCGTGCACTCTCTCTGGAGGTAACAGCACCATTTAAACCATCTCCACGGTTTAAATAAATCTTTTTGTTGATGGTTCCTCGATTTATCTATCCCTCCAGCCTTCACTTGCTTAAGTATCTCAAAATTAACTTGTCCAAAATGTAACTCTTGTCTTTTCTCCTCAAACCTGGTGCTCAAAGCTTCTGGCTCAATCTCCACAATGGACTTGTAGCTCCACTGCTATTACCTGGGCCCATTACATCATGCCACTTCCAAGATAAGAATCTCCACACTGATCTCTCTACTTCTGTTCTTGGCCTCCCCAATCCATTTCCCACATAGCAGTCAGTTATCTTATAAACTTAAACCAGATCCTGTCACTCCCCTCCTTAAAACCAATTAATGGCTTCATATGCACTCAGAACAAAACCCAACCTCCTTCACCGGGCCTACTGAGGCCCAGTAGGCTTTGGACCCGGAGTGCCTCTCTATCACCAACTCCCAGTGCCTCCTCTCCTCATGCTCAGGCACACTGGCCTTCTGTCAGTTCCTAGAACATGCCCATGTCTTTCTATGCACAAGTTCTGTATTTACAAAGTATACAATTAAGAGGCCTGGGTTGGCTGGGGCTGGAGGTTATATTTCAAAACAAACACATGCAAAAAATATTTAATAGCTTACATGCTTAGAAACATACACACACACACACACACACACACACACACAAATATATAAATAGAGACAAATAGCTGAAAGATACAAGTGACTCTATGCAGAGACATTTATACCATGCTACTCTGTTATTAATAACAACTTTTAGCATCAATCATTTTATTAGACTTTCATTCCTGGCTAAACGTTTTTCCTACTTTTCCAGCAATCTATACTGGCTTCCTTCATATATTGAAGGGGAACCCCCGCCCCGATCCTTAAGATAAAACATCTATAATAGGAATCAGAAGGCAAAAGACAGAGGAGTTGGAGACTAGTGGGCTATCAATGCATTGCGTGTACGAGGTCATCAACAGCAGTAGTGGTCATTAATCTATGTGCAGTGAGCAGTGACCACTAAATGGTTTTCCAAGTCTTCCCTCCTCTGAGTGGGAGCTTATCTAGAACTTATCCTATGTGTTCTACATCATTCAATACTGGGTGTGTTGGGATCGGTAAGCTCTCTTTGAGCTGCACACTTTGGACCATGACGAGTCCATCTGGATCTGACAGAGGAGGATACACACCACCCGCAAGTCCTGCACTAGTAGCTGAGTACACGAAGGGATGAAACTGGGTTACAAATCCCTTTGCGGAAGAATCGAGTATTTCACACCAACACGAGCACTTTTGGCAGATGCATGTGAGAAAGGGTGTGTATGGTGTTAGGTAGACAAATGTGGTGCTCTACAGCAGGTATTTTAGTTATTCTACTCCCCTTTATCTTGCTGGCAACACACACACACACACACACACACACACACACACACGTGCGCGCGTTTTTTTGTTGTTGAAGTGTTTCCCCCCCTTCACGTGATTCAGAGAAGCACAGCCCTACCCTCAGTAGAGACAATTGTCTGTCTAATCTAACAATTTTAGTTTCAATCCCCTTGCCATTGTTTACACAAGGGCATATAATAAATTCTGCCCAATAAAATTAGAAGGAAGTCTGTTGGGAAAGTGGGGGAGGAGCCCGGGGAAAGATTTCTTTACCAAGTAAAGAGACATCCATCTCTCTTCCTCTAATGAACGCTGTCAACTCAAAGCTGCTACATCTGCATGTGATGTATGGCCCCTCAGCAGCCACAGTGTGGCCATGAAGTGCATTAACCTGTGGCTAAATTGCTATGTAGAGGGCAGCACATTGAAATAGAGAAAGAATGTGATGAGCCAAGGAATTAACTAACTGGAGTACCTGTATGCTCAAAGCTTTTGATGTGTGGTATAACATTTTCCTTATTGTTTAAGCTTTTGTTTACTCTGGGTTTTTGTTACTTATAGCTGAAAACATCTTAATTAATAAAGGAGATAAAATCTGAAGCAGACCCTTTCAGTTGCCCTATGGATATCTGTTTTCTCCGTCTTCCTAGCTAACAGAACTCTGATTTTGTCCAGCCCTAGGGATGGATTTAGATATTAACCTAAGCTGACTGTGACAACTGTTTCCTAGTTTTCCAGTAGCCCTAGCAACTCTCAGTTTAACCAATAAAACAAGATAAAGTCAGGGGGTTAGTTTCTGGGGACACTTTTGCTTTCCTGATATTAAGAGGTCCACATGATTCAAGTGCTGGCCCTTCTGCCATTTTTCCTCCCTCCAATGCAAATAACAGCAGCCATTTTGTATCCATGAGGGAATTGGCAAGAAAATTACAGAGATGTCAACCTTGATACTACTCAACTACTGAATGAACACCAGAAAATATCTACTATCTATGTAAAAAAATAAGTCTCTATTTGTTTAAGTCACTGTTTGTTGGGTAATTTTTACTTAAAGCTAAAATCCATTTCTAAATTTGTGACCAAGTAAAAAATAAGGACTAAATATCCATCAGATGTTAATATCAGGCCACTCATTCTTCTGTTACAACTTGAGTAACTTTATCTCAATGTAAAAGCACTTCAATCTATATCATAACATTTGATGCTCAAAATATTCCTGTTTGTATCTAGGATAAGTGCTATTACTTCTATTTTTCTAACAAGGAAACCAAGGAACAGAAAAATTTACTTTCTCAAGACACAATTCAAGACCAAATTAGAGCTAAAGTCACAGTTATTTCCATTAACACTACTCTGTAATCCTTCTTAGTAATCTCTCAAAAATAACATTTTTCCTACATTGGTTCTAGTTCTTTATTTTCTTTAAGAGCAAATATTTTTATCTTACCATTTGAAGCAACTATAAGCAAACCTTTTCTGAAAGGATGTATAACAAATTTTGCTCTTTATCAGATAAATTCTTACTAAGATTTTTCACTTATGTGTGGTAACTAATCAATTTTTTTCATCTAAAAAAGTTCATTATAGAACAACTGAATCAGGGTGGGGAATGAGAATCTTGTATCATATTGCCTCTGCGTGATCCATATAGATTAAAAAATTTTAAATACCAAATGGAGATTACCTGGGAGCGAGGTAGCAAATATAAATGTTACTATTAATTTAACTCATCTTCAAAACTATGACAGCTTTGGTTGATGCTACTCAACAGGCATATAACAGTAAGTACCAAAATAAAGGTGTTTTATTAATGTGGAGTTTCATTTAAAAAGTGGCTTTTTGCAAGAGGGCTCTGTATTCTGAGCATGATAACAATAATAAGGGTGTTTATACCTATGACAAAATACAAGGAAGCTACAGAATTCATTATTATGTTCCTGTTTTAAAGTGAAAAATATCAAAAGATTCATGCTGTTAATCATATTTCCTCTTGTTAGTAGACATTAATCCGTTATCACTGTGAACAAAACATTATGAAATAGCAAGCTGTAAAGTCGTAACTTTAAGATAATGAAGATGTCCAATAAGTTCTATCTAAAATCCTTTTGCAAAACAGTACTGTCTCTTCAGTATAAAATATTGTTCTAAATAAACCATACAGGAAAAGCTCATGTGCAAATACAGTTCATCTGATACTAAGAGTTGCACAATAACTTCCTGTTCGGGAATTCTATGCTGTGAACACACAATAGTAAAATTACAATACTGGTCATAAATAAAACTTTTGAGTACTTTATGAAGAAATTTTAGTATTCAGTACACACAAGTGCCATTTATATTTCTGAAGTCTTTTAACAACAATGAAATGATTTTTTAAATTATTCATATTTATTCCTTACTGTATTTTAAAGGAGATAGGAATTTTAAGACTGTCTTGAGTACCTATCACCCTGTACTTTAGGCAGTAGGTCAGGTCCTTTATTTTATACTTTCTTTATCTCATTTAATCCTTACACAATGCCTATGTTACGGATAAGAGGATAGGTTCAGAGAGACTGAGATTTTACAAATACTTGAAAGTGTTTTCTATCACAGTCAAGTTCAAAAATTATTTGGCATATTTGGTTTTTGCCTCTTTACTTAAAAAGCTATGCTGCTATACTTGGCCTAACTGTTCAAAACGGGATACGAGTTGAAAGAGCAATTGTAAGAATGAGTGCTCTTTTATATACAGAAATAAATTACTTGAAAGATACAGGATAGCTTAAATGAATACTGGGTTACCTTGAACTTGAGAAATGATGAACAGATAGGCTCCCAATAATCTGATGTAAATATATAGCTGAGTCATTGTTCAATTTTAATGTTTTGTATACACTGTCACCTGGTCTTGTTATGTCACTAATTCAAATGACTTTTATTCAATGAGATTTTCTTGTAAAAGGTCTCAATCACTTGACAATGATTCCAACTTCCACTGCTTTCTCCTGACTCCTGAAAGATAAAAATATGAAGGTAATGAATATGACTGAATTCTGAGAAGTTTTCAAAAACAAGGAGAAGAAAACAAATGCACGAACATCACTTTAAACAATGAAATATATTTTTAAAAATTAAAGCTATCTTTGTTTTTTTCAAAAAGGAACTGTAATGCAAAAGCTTAAGTAATTTAGTAATAGGTTATTACCTCTCCTGACCTTAGATTAACCATATGCAAAACAAGATAAGTGCACTAAATAATAGTCTTTTCTGGCTGCCCTAAAGTAATTACTTTGCTATTACCAAATTTTTTAAAAAACATATTAAGAATAAAACAAAAAAGTTGAATTTAAAATAGTAAACTTTTCACTAATCTTCCAAATCTTAAGATGTCATAAAAATATCTTGAATCTTTCTAATAAATAATTTATTCTATGGATAGGAGAGAAAGCCCACATAGAAAATCACACATTTAAGTATGTTGAGTGCTTTATCATTAAAACAATGCCAACAGAAATGTATCTTAAATAAAATTATTTTCCTCAAATACTGCAAATCTGACTTTATTAGGATAAAACTGAGCTTTTAATATTGATGACATGAAACATAAGCTCTCTAATTAAAGTTCAGCAATTATAAAAGTTAAATAGGTAACAGGAAAAAAGGCTAGTTTGTATAAAAGTGAATATAATTTTGTTTTCCCCCATCCTATTGGTTCACGCATTCTGATTTTATTGACTTCAGCCTGAATTTTTCCTGAATGAAAAATATTTTATTCACTTACGACACAACTACCCCTGGCATAATTTCTACCATAAATAACCTGAGCTTTCTATTTTATCTACCTAAGAATTTCTGATGTTAATTAGCACTCCAAAAGCACTTACAGTATTAAGGAAACAAGGTTTACAGTGAGATGTCATTTGTATTATATATTTTATATATGGCTTAGTTCTAAAATCTCTACAATTTCTCACATCTCTGCTACAAAATTAACGTGCTTCCCATCTACATAATGCTGAAAGAATAAGATACAAAGTCTAAATAATTAGAATTATTATAGAATTACATCTATATAATAATTAGAATTATTATAGAATTACTATAGAATTACATCTATAATGTAACAATAACATTTCTTGGGAGAACTTGACTTCATATAATTATGATTGTAGAGATACTTGTTCCAGGTTTCAAATTCAAAAAAAATTTCCAGTGTATTTCCAATCCTGATCTCTTTTTATTTCTATTTGCCTAGTAAATATCTCTAATAGGATGGCACTCCACCTATGTAAATCAAACTCATTACTGTTTCTTCTCATTCCTCAAGACATGCCTCTTCTCCCTCCACTTGCTGTCACAATGATGGGTGGCGCTCTCTGTCCAATCACTCAAACCAAAAACCCTGTCCTCGTTTCTGCCTCCCTTGCTAGCTCTAGCTCTCACCCCCTCACAATATTTCCCCTTATTTATTCGTTCACTCACTCAATCACCAACAGCATTGTTTGAATACATATTACAGATAAGTGCAAGATGCTAGAAAAACAAATATGAGCACGACAGTTTCTGTTTCAAGGAGCTCAGAATCTTGGGCAGGAAACTGAATGCTATGATTGGTTCCCTCTTTGTGTCAGTTTCTTCATCAATGTATTTAAAGCTAATATGTGGTCTTGTCTCATCAGAGGTACAACCAAGGCATCTTGCAGGCAGTCAATGAGATTCTAAGCACCTGCCACACTCACAGTTCCTTTCAGAGAAAAGGGATTGTGTGTGATTCCTTCCAAAACATCTGTGACTCTGCTACCCTGGGCACAGTTCAAATCCAGGATCTGCCTTAAATAGGTAACCTAACCTCTCCAGATAAAACTGGAATTCTATTATTAACTTACAATTATTTTGAGAACTAAATGAGATAATACGAACACATATTCACCTCTAACTACCCACTAGCACCATTATAAAAGCTTTGAACATATTAATATTAATGTATCAAATAATCACAACTACCTTATAAGATAGGTACAATTGTTATTTTAATTTTACAGATGAGGAAATTGAGGCAAGTAGTGTTTAAGAAATGTATCAAAGATCACACAATTGATAAGTAGGCAAAACTATAATTTTAATCAAGAAGATATGATTCCAGAGTCCAGATGTTAACTGCTACCCTAATACTGCCCTGCTAGATATTTTCTGTATATTATATAATGTAAACTATACATTATAAAGTATTTTAGAGGGCCTGCTACCGAGTAGATGCTCAATATAACTTCCCTCATTTCATACATGTTTATAACACAACTTGCCAACCAGGCACAGGAAGTAACAAGTGCTACCCATGACAATCCTATCTGCAAGGAATTTTTATAGACTAAAAAACCGTAGTAACTTATATGGAGAACAGCTATTAGCCAAGAAAAGGCTAAAGTACAATGGTTTCAAATGTCTCATTTGTAAGCTAACAATGGAAATCCCTGATCTTTAAAAGAAAAATGGTTTTAGCTGATTACAAGCTCATTATGCATCAGCACTTGTGATAAGTTGCTAAGACATGATGGCAATCTTATCAAGCAAGCACTGATTGAAGTGCACTGCTATAATCAAAGAGAGTAAGGACCCATCTCCCTTTATTCCACCTGGTCAGGCCTCTTATTAAACACTTTAGAGAAGAATGACGGGAATGCAGAGGACAGAGAAATGACTATATTTGAGATACAGCCAAAAGAACTGGGGGTCTTAATGTGAATGCACCTTTGTCAAGGACACAGCAGTCATGAAGAAAACAAGATGAGATTAATTAAATGATTCATCAGATTCCTTCCAACTCTGAAGTCCTGTGTGAACCATGCTCTTGCCATTGAATATTAATTTATTTACTAAATATTAAGTGCCTATTATATGCATGATTCTGTTATTAGACACTGAGAATATAGTGATGAAAGCAAAACAGACTCAGCCTTCATGAAGTTCAGAGTCATTAAAAAGACAATTGAGATATTCAGACATCAAACAAGAGAATACAAATGATGCTCAAAACCTGTGGTACATGCAAAGAAAGCAAAGTGCCAGGACCTGATGGGACATGGGGTAGTGATCTAATCTAAACTAGATGGAGAGGTTGAAGGAAATAATGCTGAAAAGTGACATTTAAGTTGCGATCTGAAGAATAAAAGTTAGCCATGTAAAGAAAGGGGGGTGGGGGGTGGGGGGTAGGGTTAGGCATAAGAACGGCCTGTGCAAAGATCCTGAGGCACAGAAGAGCAAAGTAAGAAATGATCAGAATGAGAGGTACTGTGGTGGGAGATGAGGCTTAAGACACAAAAGACAAGGACCAGGTCAAGCAAGATCCTATGAAGGAGTTGAAATCTAAGTGGGATGGGAACGCTTATCTGGCTTCTATGTATCCGGCTGGAGAGGACAAAAGCAGAAGCAAACTGACCAGTGAGAAGAGGAAATGGCAATTCAGGAGAGGGGAAATGGCAATTAAGATTTGGGGGGGGGGGAGGGAGATTACAGTGGATGAATTCAAGATATACTTCACAAACTCAACAGAAGTTGGTAATAGACTAGATGTGGGGGGAGTGAGGAGTCAAAGACCCCTCCCATTTCTGGCTTGAGCAATTACGGAAGTGAGGACAAGTGGATTTTTAAAGGAGTGAGGAGAAGAGATCAAGGGTTCAACTTTGGACATTTGAGATTACCCAAAGGGAATGTCTAATGGACATTTGGTTCTGAAGCTTAAAGGAAACATTTGGGACTGAAGATATAAATCTGTTATGTCAACAGCATAAGATATTTAAAGCTATGGCTCTGTATGAGATGGCCTTTTAAGAATAAAAAGAGGAGAGGGCCCCAGAACACCAACATTCACTTAAAAATTGGACTAATGAAAGCATTAACACCACATATATTTGGCATTCATTGATAAAACAAATTCATAGTCCAGAATTCAGCATGAACAATATTAATGTAGTTTATATTATCACAGCTGGAATATAAACTACAGTTCACAAGTGATATATTTTTTCCACAGTTAAAAGAAATCTAGGGGCAGCTGATTAGCTCAGTAGGTTAGAACACAGGGCTCATAACACCAAGGTTGCCGGTTTGATTCCCACATGGGCCTCTGAGTTGCACCCTCCACAACTAGACTGAAACAACCACTTGACTTGGAGCTGATGGATCCTGAAAAAACACACTGTTCCCCAATAAAAATTAAAAAAAAAAAATCTAGAACCATCCAACTAAGCCCCTGGTGGATTTCCGACCCTCAGAAAATGTATGAGATAATAAATGTTGGTTGGTTTGTGTGGTTTTTTTTTTCTTTTTTTCTTTTTCTTTTTCAAACCCTTATGTCCAGGGCTGACTTTCAATAGATTGCAGTGAGGGAGCTGCTCGGCTACGTAGGAAACCCCGACCCCAGAAGCCGGTCCTCTACAAATGGTTTAGCGCCAGGTTCCCCACGAACATGCATTGCATGACAGGCGAGGGGGCAGCCCTCTTTCCTACCGCGCCCCGTTTCCCGGGTTGAGGGGCACTCCACACCGGACCCCGGTCCCCACGCACGGCGGGACATGCCACGCCACGCGGGGAGCACTCGGCAACCCGCTGTAATGTTGGCTGTTTTAAGCTGCTAAGTTTTGGGGTATTTTGTTGGGCAGCAAAAGATAGGATTCATTGCTATAATACAGTCATTATGAGAAATTCGCTGAAATAATAAAAACCTAATCACTGTAAGTTACTGCACAGTCACCCAAAGACACAAGTCTCGAAAGCATAGTTAAGTCAGAATATAACAAGTACAAGATAGTCTAAAAACTAATTAGATTATATAATTGACATCTTTCTTTCAAAGGAGTAACCAAAAGTATGCTCTTTGTTTTTAAATTATATCAACGCGTAAGGCTCCTTTTTGGGGGGAGATGAGGACTGTCCCTAGTCCTACACTATATACCGTTACATATGGATTCCATAAAGATGACATCAGTCTTGTATTCTAGGTAAAGGCACTTTTC